CCTCTCTGGAGGGAATGCTTCCAGATCAAGTTGTGCTCCTGGCAGGCACACCCCCTAGACAAGGACATTGCCCCGAGCCAGTGTGGGGTGAGGGTTCTGACCACTCTGCAAGTAGCCAGCTGCGTGCTTAGAGGTAAAGTCCATGGTTCCCTGGCCTGTGCTGGGAAAGAGGTAAGACTCCCAAAATGGCCAAACAAAAGAAAATGAAGACTGGTTAGGCCAAACAGCAGATGGGGTGTAACCAGCACTTTGTCCATTTTGTACCCATATTTGGCAAGAAGGGCCCCCAAACCAACTCGTAAGTGTTTTGTAATCCTGGCTTTCTCTAATAAAGCCACCTAGTCCAGGCAAACAAACAAAACAAAACCCTTAACTTCCTACCCCCAATAAAGAACTATCTGACACACAATTGTTCTATTTTTTTCATAGTACTTGCTATTATGTGAAATAATCCTGCTCTGCTACATGTTTGCTCATTCTGTCCATCCCTCTCCCCTCTAGAATAGGTCTGCAGGCAAGGACCATGTCTTGGACACTGCATCTAGAACAGTGGCAGGCAACTCTGAAGTTCTGAAAAATGACTTCTTCAATGAATTACTGAAAAAATAAATGGGTAACATTTCAGATAGCTGGGACAGCAAAAGGTAATACTAGAACACAAACTTGGAAAAGCAGCCTGGAGCCAGATCATAAGATCCAGTAATGACAGGAAATAGAAATAATCACTAACATTTACTGACTACGTTATCATGTGTCAGACATAACCCTATGCATTTTACACAGCTGAATACCATGAGATAGATATATATGCAGTACTATCACAATCCTAACTTCATATATATGAAAATTGTAGCTTAGCTTAAAGAACTTGCCAAGGTCAATCTGCTAATAAGTGGCAGAACTAGCACAGAAACTCATGAGTTATCCCACTCTCTCTCATTCAACAAGTACTGCCTGAGTGTATACTTTATGGCAAGTACTATGCAAGGCACTGGGGACAGAGATGAAAAATAAAAATGTGGTCTCCACCCACACAGAGCTTGCACATCTGATAGAATATACCAACATCAACAAATATAATATTTCAGTAATGGCATATGTGCCCCAAGGAGAGGGAACTTAAGTGTCCTATCTTTATCATTTATGTATCTTTCTCTATGGATCCTTTGCTCCAAACCAGTTTCTTTTTGGGACAATGGTATCATGGCTACCCCAGTAATCTCACTTATCCCATCCTTCCAGTTTGCCTTTTTTAATCAGCTGGTCTTTATGTCCTACTAACTATTCATCACCTCCTTCTTGAGTTTCCTTTTCACTTCCAATGCCATTTCTGTACTCTCCGGTTGGATCACGTGTAACATTCTCACAATTGGTTTCTACTTCCAGTTTGTGGCATCTCCAACTCATCTAAAAATTCTGCTTTCATGATGTCACTTCCCCATTCAAAATCCTACAGTAGCTCCTTTATACCTACATAGTAAGTGTAAACTTCTCAGAACAGTGGTTTGTTAGCTCTGAAGAAGCAGTTGCTAGTTCTGCAGGTCTGAATCCACTAATCTGTCCTAAAGATCATGTGCCTATTCCTGACCAGGACACGGTTTCAATGGAGCTTTATATGCTTATATCTGATAGGACAAGTCACTATTCTCTCCCCTTCATGGAATAAAAATCTAAACTAACACACTAAATATATCTTTCTTAGTCCAGATTTCTACTCTTGATACGTTAAGCTTGATACACAACATTTTAAAATGATTTAAAGAAAATTATTTCAAAATAAATTCTTTAATTTAAAATGTAAACATTACAATTTTCATTTTTATATCAATATACCATTTTTAATTTCTAAGTCACTGTGGTATTTTACAATATTAACTACATACTTGTTTTTCAAATAGACATGTTCTAAAAAATCATAAAAGAAAATTGCTAGATAATTTATCAGATTATAATTTCTTAAAATAGTTTACCACACAGATAATACCTTTTTGTTCTGCTTAGGTATAATGCAAAGTACATGTTCTTACAATTTATTCTGTCAACAAAGTGGTTAGTAAGTATCCTTGCTTTTCTGCAGTATGAACAGTAACACAATGGTATTTGGCAAGAATATTTAGAAAGCCTCTAAGAAATCAGGCTTTTTAACCTATCTTAGAAAATTCCATTACAAAAATTATTCTCATGCTAATAGTTACTGGATTTCAAGAGTTGTTAATTCTCAAGCTAATACTTTAAGTATTGTACTTCAAGGGCCAGTAAGGTCTAAACAGATATGTAGAATTGGGAAAGGTGGGGCACGAATATCATTATTTTTCTTTATTTTTAAAGACTTTATTTATTTATTTTTAGAGGGAAAGAAAAGAAGAGAGGGAGAGAGACATCAATGTGTGGTTGCCTCCCATGCACCCCCCCCACTGGGGACTGGCCCACAACCCAGGCATGTGCCCTAGACTGGGACTGAACCAGCAACCCTTTGGTTTGCAGGCCTGCACTCAATCCACTGAGCTATACCAGCCAGAGATCATTGTTTTTCTTTAAAATCAGATTCTTTAAGTCATCTATGCTAATGCACATCCATTTTATAAGTTAAATCTGAGTAAAGAAGAGGTTAGACACTGATCAAATTTGCACTTTAGATAGTAGAAGTTTACCAAATAGAATAAATTAGAAATAAAAAATGGGAACTAATTACTGGGACTTTACCACTAACAGTCCTGGTGAGGAATGATAAAAAGCTTGAGCTATAGCAGTGCAAAAAAAAATAATGAATTTCAGAGATATTTGGAAGAGTCAACCAGTAGGGGTCTGGTGGAGAGGAAAACCTTAAGTAAAGGATAACTGAGACTTCTGGCATATATGTCTAGGCATACAGTACTACCATTCATTAAAATTAGTCATGCTGGAACAGTGTGCATGGAGAAGATATAATCAGCCCTGTTTTGAAAACCTGCAGTAGTACAATGTACGTACTCACAGAACATCCTGGAGATATAGAAAGCTAAGTAGAAACACTCCTCTGAAACTTAAACTGTGTGGGATAAATAAATATTTTGGTGGCTATCAATATGTAGGTTGTAGCTAAAACCAGGAGTAACTGAGATCATCCTAGAAAAAACATGTCGTGTGAGAAAAGGGATGAGAATAGAATCTACATAAGTAACTAAAAGAGCATCTAGAATGAGGCTAGGGCAGAATCAAGAAGTTAAATGGATTTAATCAGACTGATCTGGGTTTAAATCCTGCCCTTGTGCTTTTTTTGGCTGAGCCCTTAAGCAAAGTCATTTAACCTCTCCAACCCTCAGTTTACTCACCTATAAAGACAAGACACTAACTATTTCATACCATTTTATATACATTCACACATACATGGATATCGTATAGACTGCAAATTGTAATAAAAACTCATTAATGTACTAAATTAATAGTTTTAATTTAAATAGTATCAAATTGATTTTGGTAAACATAAATACAGGAAAACCAAGAAAATTATGTCCTAAAAAATGAAGAATAGAAAAACAACTTAAATCTTTACTGAACTGTCTCAACTAAAGAGAGATTCCATTCCATGGCACACAATCTGAATACTCTTGTTATTTCCATACCAGTGACCCAAAATTCCCAGCAAAGGCAAAGGCATGCATGCTCTTACCCTTAAAATTACCCCAACTCTCTCCCACAATTTAGTTGGGGAATTGTTAAAGTTCTATTTATGACTACATCACTTTGGTGGATGAGTGGGAAAAAAAACATCAAATGTCAGGATGTTTAACAAATACACTGCTTTATAAAAGCCAATGCCAACAGTAAATGCTGTGCTTGTCAGCAATAGCTGGTTTCTGGTTTTACTGCATTTTGCTCTTCTAAGAAGAAATAAAAACTACTGGCCATTAGAAATAAGCTCCACTTTCTAATATAGACAACTTACAGTGAATAAACTCCAGTATTGTTAAAAAACCTAAGGGAATGTGAACCAGTCAAGCAAAGGACAAACACACCAAGAAAACCAAGCCTTGGCCCCAGTGTGGTATTCCTGCATGGTATCACTGTGCAGATAATGCTTTGAGACCAGCTCTACTCTTTGGCATCTCCCCAGTGAGAAAATAAGGCAAAGATATGTCTGTGGCATGCACAGGGTGAACTAACACTGCATGCATCACAGCCACAACCATTTCAAAAGCACATACCCCACGTCCAAATGTGAATGGCCCAGGTACTAATGGCACTATTTCTTATTTATACACCGAATAAATAGTTCTCTGCCTTCCGTACCTAAGTACTTCTTTCCATTGTCTACGTGAACAGGTTAAAGAGGACCAGCAGATGCCATGGAACTCGCAGGTATGGCAGTTAACATAAAAGATCTAAGCAGGAGACTGGGCAGAGGTGGGGAAGGAAGTCCAAAGAGGGGAATGTGGAAAAATACATCAGAATTAGTCATTCAAAAAAAGGAAGAAAAGCAGTTGAGAGAGAGCGAATAGCATGAGGAAAGGCAGGAAGACAAAGCCATGGGGCATTATGACACTGGAAGTAATTCAAAATGCCTAGAGAGGGTGGAAATTCAAAAGGAAAACTGCTGAGTACTTTAACTAATAGTGTTTCCATGACATAAAACACTGGATCCTAGAGTCAAGCCTACTGAAGGGGAATGTGGGCTTAGATTTACTCTGCTAAGTTTCATCCAAACTAAGGTTTCACTTTGGATTTTTGTTGAGATTTAACATGTACTATGTAGTTCCAAATAAGCTGAAGAAATAGAGCTATACTATTGAATACACTTGTCACAGAATAACTTCCCACACACAGCCTAGCTCCCAAATACCCACATGACCCAGACTGCAGATCTTTTCTATAGCCGAGAAGTCTGTATGGCAGAAAATGCTCTAGTTTTGTGTATTTCAATGGGTAGTAGGTAGTTGTTGTTTTGGGGTTTTTTTTGAAACCCTTCCATTATGAACACAAGAAATACTGTTTAGACTGCCAGAGTATAAAAGCATACTTACCTATATAAGCAGTCCATATAGTCTGCACCCTTGCTGTATTCCTCCCAATACCTATGATACATAACAAGTACTTGCTCTTCAGACTCCAGAACTCTCTATATAAGAAAGAAAAATATTTTTACTTGTAAAAAGCTAATAATTTTCATTTATAAACTGTAAATTTATCAAGTTAATATTCTAAAGTAACTGACATAATTTAAGCATTATAACTTGCACTTACAAATTCCACTCTAATTTAACTACCTTTAGTAACAATGAAACAACTAAAAAACAATGTGAGTCTTAGACATAAAAGTGAAGCATCCATATTAGAGAGTAAATTGTTTTATTCTCTAAGATAAAAGGACATGTAATGGTATGATGCTCTCTTTGGGCTAGAATTTTTTAATATTAGTTCATCTAGAATGTAATTCTATTGCCATGTCTCTATGTGTTTCCTCAAACCCATCACATCTGATCGGCCTGCTAAGTATATTAGTAAATCAGCCTGATATAATTATATCATTACTCCAAATTACTATGTAAATAACACTTTTTTATGCAAACTGATTTTCTACATTCCCCAAGTTTTTAAAAATTTACTCAAAAGAAGCCTATTTTAACTGTACTTGAACAACTAAAATAAAATTTTTAAAAACGCAGCCTATTTTTATTATGTTTTAATTATCACCTGAGGATATGTTTATTGATTTTTAGAGATAGGAGGGAGGAGGGAGGATAGGGGGAAAAGAAGAGAGGGAAGGGGGGGAGTGGAGAGAGACAGAGAGACAGGGAGAAACATCAATGTGAAAGAGAAACATCGACTGGTTGCCTCCTGTACATGCCCCAACTGGGGATCAAACCCACAACCTAGGTATGAGCCCTGACAAGCAGCAAACCTGCAACCTTTTGGTGTACAGATGACGATTCAACCAACTCAACCACTCAGCCAGGGCAAAAGCGATTACTTTTTGAAAATGAAAATCAAACCAAAAATTGAGGTCTAACTTTTAAACATTATTTTTAAAGAAAATCTAGTCTAACCATAAAAATATACTGGACTGATATTCAGGGGATCTCAGGTTCTCCTTTTTTTTTAAATATATTTTATTGATTATGCTATTACAGTTGTCCCATTTCCCCCCTTCACTCCCCTCCACCCTGTACACTCTCTCCCACCCACTTCCCTCCCTTTAGTTCATGTCCATGTGTCATACATATAAGTACTTTAGCTTCTACATTTCCCATACTATTCTTACCCTCCTATCTATTTTCTACCTACAACCAATGCTACTTATTCTCTGTACCTTTTCCCCCTTTCTCCTCCTCCCACTCACTCCCCTGTTGATAACCCTCCATGTGATCTCCATTTCTGTGGCTCTGTTCCTGTTCTAGTTGTTTGGTTGGTTTGTTTTTGTTTTTGTTTTAGGTGTGGTTGTTAGTAATTGTGAGTTTGCTGTCCTTTTACTATACATTTTTTTATCTTCTTTTTCTTAGATAAATCCCTTTAACATTTCATAAAATAAGGGCTTGGTGATGATGAACTCCTTTAACTTGACCTTATCTAGGAAGCACTTTATCTGCCCTTCCATTCTAAATGAAAACTTTGCTGGATAGAGCAATCTTGGATGTAGGTCCTTGCCTTTCATGACTTGGAATACTTCTTTCCAGCTCCTTCTTGCCTGTAAGGTCTCTTTTGAGAAATCAGCTGACAGTCTAATGGGTACTCCTTTGTAGGTAACTTTCTCCTTTTCTCTTGCTGCTCTTAAGATGTAATCTAATTATGACGTACCTTGGTGAGTTCCTCCTTGGTTCCAACTTCTTTGGGTCTCTCTGGGGTTCCTGAACTTCCTGGAAGTCTATTTCCTTTGCCAGATTGGGGAAGTTCTCCTTTATTATTTGTTCAAATATCCTTTCCACTTGTTGCTCTTCCTCTTCTCCTTCTGGTACCCCTATGATTTGGGTGTTGGACCATTTAAAGATATCCTGGAGGTTCCTAAGCCTCTCCTTATTTTCTTAAATTCTTGTTTTCTCATTCTTTTCTGATTGGATATTTCTTTTTTCCTTTTGGTCCACACTGTTGATTTGAATCCCAGTTTCCTTCCCATCACTATTGGTTCCCTGTACATTTTCCTTTATTTCAGTTAGCATAACCTTCATTTTTTTCATCTAATTTGTGACCAAATTCAACCAATTCTGTGAGCATCCTGATTACCAGTGTTTTGAACTGTGTATCTGATAGGTTGGCTGCTACTTTGTCGCTTAGTTGTATTTTTTCTGGAGCTTTGATCTGTTCTTTCGTTTGGGCCATTTTTTCTGTCTTGATGCACCTGTTACATAGTGAGCAGCAGAGCCGTAGGTATTCACCCTGGTAGGGTAACCCACATAGCTGGGTTGTGATGCTGTATGTGGGGCAGGGGTCCTAGAGGGAACAATGGCATTTGCTCTGCTCTCTGCTGGATTTCAGTCACTTCCTCTGCTTCCTACAAGCAAATTGGGCTTTCTGGTGCTGATTCCCCGTGTGGTTGGGTTTGTGTACATTCTAGGACCCTGTGGGTCTCTCCAAGGAACTCTCCTGTGAGACTGGGAGTTTCTCCCAGCACCTCAACTCCCACAGGTGTTTTCAATCAGTGGTTTGAAGCTTTATTTCCCCAGCCTGGGACCCTGGTTGTGTGGTCTGTCTCAGTCCCCAGTTTCACCTGGTTTATCTGCACGCAAACGTGGGACCGCCTGGTCTGCCAGCCACCTTGCATGCTGTGCCCCATTCCACAATCCCTCGCCTTGCTGGGCCCGCCAGCTGCTGCTTTGCTGCAAGCTCTCTCCGCCCTGGCTGCCCCCACTCTCCCCAGCCCCACTCCGTCCCTCCTACCAGTCAGGATAAATGTTTCTTTAACTCCTTGGTTGTCGGACTTCCATAGAGTTTGATTTTCTGTCAGTTCTGATTGTTTTTTGTTTTTAAATTGTTGTCCTTATTTTGGTTGTGCGAGGAGGCACAGTGTGTCTACCTATGCCTCCATCTTGGCTGGCAGTTCTCAGTTCTTTCATTAACTAACTGTCCATGTAACCTTAAGAAATCTTGACCTCAACTTTCATCTAACTAATTATCTAATGCAATGCTTTTTCTTGCCAATCTTATTGGTAAATAAATTAGAAACAGCAACTATTAATAATCCTAGGGAATAGAGTGCCCTTAGGAAGTACTGTTGCTTGTTTGAAACAATATAAACCCAAGAAAAATTTGTTATTATATGTCAAAAACAGTAAAAAATGTTCTTGACTTAGAACACAGTAAATTCCAGGTCTAGGAATTTATCCTACAAAACTTTGGTTACACAAAAATAATTTAGTCACAACTATGTTCACAGAAGTATTATTGATAATAACAAATTATATAAATTGGAAATAATGTACATGTCCAGCAATATAAAAACATTTAAACAAATCACAGTATCTCCACACCACAAAAAATTTTATTGTCATTGCCAGGATTACAAAAGTCTATTTACTGACAAATAAAGAGAGACTTACAATATCATTAAAAACAAAAAGCAGACTACAAAGTGTATAACATAACTCAATTTTCTAAAAAAAATGGAAGTCTGCACAAAGCAAAAGTATGCATTACAGAAATTATCAAATCAAATTACATATGTACCAAAAGAGATATATTTAAATATAGATATATCATAAATATTAACAACGGTTAATTGTGGCATTATGTTGTTGGTGATGTTTATTTTATTCTTTTTGTTTATCTGTATATACTGAATTATCTGTAATGGTAATGTAGTAAGTACATTAATTAATTTAAAAAGTTCCCTCCCTCAACCAAATCAAATTTTCTTCTCACAGGTGAAACTGATTTTTTTGGCTACATTAACAATTTACTTTGTCATCTACACATGAGCCAACTTTTTTATCACTGGATATAAGAACATATAGTGTATAATCATACACCATTTTAAAAATCAAACAATTATACCAATGTTAATTTCTTAATTTTAGTATCATACCACTATAATGCAAAGCATTAACATTAAGAAGCTGAATAAAAGTATATAAGAACTCTCTATACTATTTTTGCAACTTTTCTATAAATCTAAGATTACTTTGAAGTTTTTAAAAAGTTACACTTACAACTTATTCTAAAATATAAAATTGTAAAATTCGTAAATGTGTCATAGCTATCAATTATAGTATAACCAAAGCTCACTAGCTAACAACAGAAGTTTAACTTTAAAACTAACTTTAAAACCAATTGAAAGTATGTTACCAACACTGCTTTCATGAACTATGTATGTACATACCAGAATACTATCTACCATATACAACAAAAAGTGCAGCACTTCCTCTAAATGTTTGAAAGAAACTATCACATGATCAAGCAACTTATGAGTTACTACCACTTTAAAAACTTATTCTCCAACCTTTGTTCAGGATTAGGCATTAGATTGTGTTGTTTTATCTCCATTTTATAGATAAAGATACTTAAAATAGATTATGTGAGTTGTCTATGGTCTACTAAAAGGTCAAGTCTGAGTTGCTAGCCCAGACAATAAATGATCTCATTCAGCTCCTTGAGAAGATCAGTAAGTTAAGTTAGAAATGCTGTCTACAGTCAAATACTGCAAATTTATTGTTTATGTACAGATCAAGTCTATGATGTTGCCCTCATACACATGGCATACTAGCCAAAAATACTGGTCAGAAATAGTTTCTCTCATGCTTTTAAATTTAGCATTTCCCTTTTTAATTTTAGGCTTTTGTAAGACTTTACATAGGATATGAAGAGGAAGCAAAAAGTTGAAAATAATAGAGATTTGCCAAGAGGTGGGAAGCAACATTAAGAGAAAACCTGGTTCTATCCAGAGGGCATAGAAGCACATTTTAAAGGTAAACAAACCTTGATTTGAAACCCTGATTTTTCATTCGCTGATTATATGATCTTGAACAACTATACTAATTTCCCTTGTGAGAACCTAACAGCACAGTGCTTGACTCATAGATCTTAAATATGTATAACTAGAAAAATGCTATTTAGGAAATAAAACAAATATGCCTTTACTTGATCTAAATTCTGGACTGAAAAACAGTGAACTTAGCAAATAACTATGCAGCTACGAATGTATTTATAGCATGTATGTATCATTCCTTACCTTGTGTAAATGCCGTACGTGATTTTCCAAAAAAATCTTAGTTTCTGTATAAAGTCTTTCTCCAAGGGGTTCAGGATAGGCCACACATAAAGCATAGATATCTCTAGTTAAACTGTTAAGGTTTTCACATTCATTTGGAAATATTCTTTAAAACAAATGAGATTTAACTCAAGTTTCACATAAAAAAACGAAAAATCATTATTTTATTTTTGTGCTTTAGGATTATATAGACACAAATACAGAATAAACGATAAAATATAGAACCACGCTTACTTTAAAAAGCAGAAGATACATTCATTTACTCATTCAACAAATATTTATTGAGAATTATTTGACAGCATTTTAAGAAAAATTGTTACTGTTAGAAAGATTAAAGTTCACAAGGGTATTCTAGTATGTCAAGTTACCTAGACACCTACAAAATAAGGTTTATTTTAAAAAGAACATAAGCATAATACCAACAAAGAGCTCTGGAATATCACAAGAGGTAAATATATCTAGGCAATTCTGAAAAGCAAAAGCTACAAAAATCACTCATTTGACACATTCTCCCACATCCACAGTACTCATCAGAATCTTCTACAACCTACCATCTGTCCTTCACAATTTATTCTATTAGAAGAATTATAGTATGAATAGTATATATCAATTAACTTTTTGACCACCCACTACATACCTTGCTAGATATCACAGGTGGTATACTATACAGAGTTCTTAATCAGGAGTCAGGGGAAATGGGATCTGCTTCAGGCATTTACTAGCCAGTGATCTTAAACAAATCTCTTAACCTCTCGGCAACTGTCATTTCTTTATCTCTAAGATAAGGATAATAAACCCTCTTCTAACATATCTGTAGGATCCTTATAAGATCCAAATAAGCTCATGTATGTTAAAGTACTTTTATTTTATGCATCACTCACCAAATGTGGAAAATAAAACACACATGAAGCAATCTGAGACCAGCCTAATTAAAGATGCAGAAAAAAACTGAAAATAAGGTTGATTATTTTGGATGGAGTCAAGTATTTATATTGAACATAAGGCTCAGGAAATATTATAAAATAAAAATCCGTGCCTAAAAATATATCAGAGGTAGGATGTAAGTTCTTCCCCCTCTATACACTCCACATTTTACATTGCGTTGGCGAAAAAGTCCGTTTAGTTTTTTCCATAAAATAAAAAACACATTTTTCATTTTCACCAATAACTATTTATTTGGATATTTTGAGTATGTCAGCTTTCTCCCACATGGCATAATGTTGACCATTCTCAATTAATGTCTTGATTTGACCTCTATCAACTTCAACTGGTGTACCCAGTTGAGCATCGTCCAGCGAAATATCTCCAGCACAGAACTTCACAAACCACTTCTGACACAATGGCTCAGTCACAGCACCTGCTCCATACACTGCACAAATCGTTTTTTGTATTTTAGTTGCGTTTTTACCTTTCTTGAAATAATAAAGCATAATATGCTGAAAATGTTGCACATTTTCTTCCATCTTCAATATTAAAATGCCTATACAAAAATTCAATTTTGATTTTTCTTAAATGCACGCTGATATGACAGCTGTCATCATACAGTCTAACAAAAGTGTTTCAAATGCAATTAAAGACAACTAGGTGCTACCCAGCCACCTTACAGAAAAAACAAAAAGGACTTCCTGGCCAACCCAATATATGTCTTCTGTAGAACTTATTTTTATACAATAGAAATTATTTGTATTTTTGCTATCCATACTAGCCTGTTCTTAATCTATATTCCCAGTCCCCAGACATAGCTGCTGGCACATAACAGGCACTCATTGAACTCTAGGTGAATGCCAGGGAAATACGGATCAAATCTCACATGCTCTGCCTATTAACCTAGTATGATTACTCTGGAAAGAGCAAGCATCCCTCTTTACATGAGCCTTCTTCACATGGAAATCTGGTAGATATCTGTCAGATTTTCCCATGTTCCTTTTAAATCCTTTCATTTATTTTTAATTACTATTAGTAACTAATAAAATATTTTCTTGTGTTATATATATTTCTTAAATATATTAGTCTATTAAATATAAATAATAATTTTCTTTCTAAAAAAACAAACAAGGTGAAGCAAAAATATCATACAATATAACATCGCTGTGCCAGGTTTTCCATAAAAAAAAATATATATATGTACAAATATACACACATATATATCTATATACAATAAGAAGCTTACAATTGTTTTAAATCAACTTAGATAAAATAACAAATTAGATTACCCAAGTAAAATACTACATAAGAACTACCAGCAATAACATATCAAAATATTAACTTATATTACAAAGAAAGTACAGATTTAATATATACCACCTAAGAAAGAAGAATTTACCCGGACACAAATTCTATAGAGAATTTATAATGGTTTGGTGGATGGGAAATGAAACAAGAGGTGAAACAAAAGCATCAACAGAAAAGGAAGGAGCTTCAAAATAACGTATTACATGAATTTCTGGATCCTACTTGGAGCCCCTCTGGGTTTCAGCTATAAATTCCTTAACCAAAAAAAAAAGTCTTAATTCACTACATAATTTAAATCTCTAAATGTTTCATCCTGTTTTCTTTTACCATAAAGGGTTACAAGGAGTCTCAATTATTCATCACAAGCTACCCTAGTAAAATCAGATAAAGAGTTGTCTGAATTAAATTTATTAGAATCAGGTGTGTCCAACCTTTTAGCATCTCTGGGGACAGTGGAAGAAGAAAATTTGTCTTGGGCCACACAATATACAAGCACTAATGAAAACTGATGAGCAAAAAAAAAGGTTTCAAGTAAATTTACAATTTTGTGTTGGGCTGCATTCAGCCATCTTGGGCCGTGGGCTGGACACCCCCACTGATGGTAGGATAGTAGTTAACTTTAGTTACTGAGAGGGAACAAGAGATTTTCTGGGATGCTAAGAGTGTTCTACTTACTGAATACATGGGTATGTTTACTTTGTGAAATTTATCCGTATTTTTCATGAGTGAGTATGTATTTAGGTTTTTTAAAAGACTAAATTCAGCCATAATCTAGATCAACAATTCTTTCAGCAAAGGTGTGATATACTTAATATCATGAAGCTCTAAACACCTATTTCTTAAGCTAGATACACGCTTATTTCTAGAATACACAACTTAGTTGATACTGAAAAATTTAAATGATTTAATACCATAAATTCAGCATACTATGCTATTTATATGCCTAAATGTTTTCTCAATATAGCCACTGCATGTACATGTACACAAAATTTACTACTACACCTCAGGGCTTCCCTTCTTTCTGCTTAGGGAAAAAGAACTGTGCAGGGGAGGCAATACAGACTTTCCCATTTCATTCCATATATGACATACACTGTCTTCCTCAGTGAGAATGTATTCATTTTTTTTAAATGGATGTATCTTAATAAATTTTTTTAAATCCTCACTGGCAGACCTGCTCATTGATCTGAGAAAGAGGGGTTAGAGAGGGAGAGAAACATGTGAGAGAGAAACATGAATAGGTTGCCTCTCCTACACATCCCAACCAAGAACCACACCCACAACCCAGGCATGTGCCCTGACAGGGAATTGAACCCATGACCCTTTGGTCAACTGCATGATGCTCCAACCAAGTGCGCCACCCCAGCCAGGACAATAAATTTTTTTAAATTACCATTTTAACTCACCATAATTTGGGGTCTCAGTTAACCACCATCTAATTTCATTCAACTGCCTACAATATATTCCTAAATATGTTCTTTTTCTTTAATTTACTCAAATATCCAACCATCCTGGAAGTATTTACATCTTAAAAAGAACATCCAAAAAGGCATTTTTCAAGACACTTTAAAAGGCTAAAAATGGGAAATAAGTGGAGAAGGTGAGATTTAGATTTAAATACTCTCTTCCCCAAAGTCATCTTTTCCTTACATCTCTGTTTTTTAAACCAGAATATAAAAATTCCTCCACTTAAAATTCTGTCAGAAACTTCCAGAGCAAAAGCTCTGAACTGTTATAGCCAAAGACAGTGTTGTTCAGCAGCAAAATTATTTATTTTAGTTCATTTTCTCCATTGAAAGGTGCTTCCTATACTTTGGTCTAATTTTGAGTTTTAACACGATTAACTCTATTATGTAGTGAGTCACAAACAATTAGTTTTGAAAGGGCAATGAAAGCCCTGACCGGTATGGCCCTGTTGGTTGGGTGCCCTTCTGCAAAGCGAAAGACCACCAGTTTGAGTCTAGTCAGGCTACGTGCCTGGGTTGTGGGTTCAGCCCCTGGTTGGGGCGCGTTTCTCTCTCACATCAGTGTTCTCTCCCTCTCTTTCTCCCTCCCCTCTGAAAATAAATAATAAAAAAAATCTTAGCCCTGGCTGGAGTAGCTCAGTGGATTGAGCGCAGGCTGCGAACCAAAGTGTTGCAGGTTCGATTCCCAGTCAGGGTACATGCCTGGGTTGCAGGCCATGACCCCCAGCAACCGCACACTGATGTTTCTCTCTCTCTCTTTCTCCCTCCCTTCCCTCTCTAAAAATAAATAAAACTTAAAAAAATAAAATGGGGAACTATTTTAAAAAAATCTTAACAAATCTATAAAATCATCCATTAAAATCAGCTTCAACATCAAGTATTTATTGATTCAATTTAATTTAGAAGCACAACCAGAGATGACTATAGAGAAAACCTTTTCCTAACTGCACCATCTGAGTGAAGGGTGCTAAGTGAAACTGCCAAGGTTATAAGTTCTCCTCCTAACACTTGTGAAGATCATTACAACATTCTTCAATGTACTCAAAACTGGTCTATGTTTGAAAAACAGCCTAATAGAATACAAATGAGAAGTGAGGACAACAGTATAACTAGTTGTGAAAAGCCCAGATTTCCTAGGCGGGCAAGAAATGCATTCAGGGAATGCAATCTTAAATCTCCTCTTGCTTAATCCCCCTGAATTTATATAAAACCACTTAAAAGCTGACTTGTCCTCAGGTAGAATAACTTTTATATTATACTGCTGGGGTTTGGGAATTGTTCTAACAGCTACCAAAAAGCAAAAAACAAACAAACAAAAAATCACCCCACAAGTAAATCAAAACAACGAAAGAACTCCAATCCAGAGAAACAAATAATAAATGTAGATCTATACTTAGTCTCTATCTTACCATAGGAAAGCACCTAATGAAGGGTAAATTCCAAACCACCCTACTCTTCCAAAGCTGTCATAAAACTTTTGTTATGAAGCATCATTATTACTTGTGTTAGGCTCAATTCTGATAATGGACTCCCAGGTTTCCTACCCTAATACCTGAGGCTGTGAATTTAAGATATCACACCCAAGTTATTTACATGCAAAAATGACTTTGCAAACGCAATTACAATTACTATTCAGTTGACCCCAAAATAGGGACATTACCCTGGACTTTCCTAGTGGGCCTAATCTAATAGCAAGGGCCCTTTAAAAGCAGATCCCTCCACCTCCCATCTCCCACCCCTGTTGCTAGCTGAAGAAGGAGCTACACACAAAAAGATTTCATTCAAAACACAGAAAGATTAGACATGCCACTGCTGGCTTTGAAGATGGAGGGGGATTACCTACAAAGGCTGGAGAGTGACCACAAGTCACTGAGAGCAACTCCTGGCCAACAGTCAACCAGGCAAGAAGAATTGCAGTCCCATAACTGCAAAAAATTGAATTCTGCCAATTAACAGCAATAAACTAGAAAGAGGACCCTGAGTTCTAGAAGAAAAGGTTTTAGCCTTATGAGAACCCAAGCAAAGAACCCAGTCACACCATGGACTTGTGACCAACAGAATTGTGAGATGAGTGTTTCTGTAAACTGGCAAATTTGTGATAATTTGTTATGCATCAAAAACACTGATGTTTTCTATTTACATTATCAAACAGAATGACCTGCATATATACTCGGACCCAGTACATTTATGAGGAATTAGTGTTAAAAGCCCCACTTTTCAACATAGCGAGAGAACTAGCCAAATTTTGATGTTATTTGTTTCATCTATACCATTTGCTTTAATGATATTCAGTTGACAGTAGCTATTCAATAACCAAATATTTGCTAGGTGTCTGTAAGTACCAGGTGCTGGGAATATAGCAGTCAACAAAGCAGACAAGAATCCTTCCCCTTGTGAAGTTTATATTTAGGAAAAATGTTTGTGGACAAGAGTTCAGTAAGTTCCATACTTTTTTTTATACATGTTGAACACTTCTATTGGCAGCCAAGCTTCCTTAATGCTGACTGCAAAAGTATAGAAAACTTTGGCATTTTTACCCCAGCATTCTATCCTACAATATATAGTAAGTCATCTTACCCCTTTTGGGCTACAAATTCTCAACTGTAAAACTGAACTAATAATACATATTTTACAAGGTCATTTGTAAAAAATTAATTATACACACATATGTCGAAAGAAAATGACAAATGTACACTGTATGATTCCATTTAAATAAAGTTCAAAACACAGGAAGAATTAACCAATCTTGTTCAGGGTTGTATACGTAAGAAGTTATACTGTTTTTAGAAAAACCGCAACTAGGTGCAAAAGTCAGGATAGTGGTACCTCCAAGGGAAAGGAGCAGACTAGTGAACTGAGAGGGACATGTGGTACTGGGTTGGTGAATGCAAGTAGTGCTCTAGTTCTCAACCAGTCTGTGTGGTGATTACACAGGCGTTTCTTTATAATTATTCGTTCAACTCTACATGTTGTTCAAACTTTTCCATGTGTGAATTATTGTTTCACACACCCCCCAAAAAATGCTTTCTAAAAATAGATGTTTCACTCTCACATCAGTGTTTGTCTCTTCCTTCCTCTCTCTCCAAAGTCAATGAACACACCCTGACCAGTGTGGCTCAGCTGGTTGGGAATCATCCCGCAAAGTAAAAGGTCACCAGTTCAATTCCTGGTCAGGGCACATGCCTGGGTTGTGGGTTCCATCCCCAGTTGGAGCACATATGAGAAGGCAACTGATCAGTTTCTCTCTCATATCGATGTTTTTCTCCCTCCCTTCCCAACTCTCTAAAAATGAAAAATAAATACAATCTTAAAATGAAAATAAAGTCAATGAATATAATCTTAGATGAAGATTAAAAAAATGTTTTAAGGTGAGAGATTATACTTTTAAATTTACTGTTTTTGCAGACATTTTTTATTTTAAGGGGAGGAAAAAAGCCATGATCAGGTCAAGAATAGCAGGACCATCTTAAATGGATCAAACAATAAAGATCTTAGAAATAATAAGTGACTGAAAGAGCTCTTTCCAGGTAAGGGCTATTTCAAAAACCATTTACAAACCAACCAATTAAGTGTGTATTCTGTACAGTAATAAAGAACACATTTACCCTTTTCTTTTTCTTTACCTTATACTCATTTTCCCTTTTCTTGCAATCTTCTATCACCAATTTCTTCTCTTCCCCCTGCTCATTTTAAATAGCCTTAAAAGTACCTTAGCACTTGCCTAGCCGATATCATTAACATTTTTTCAATTTTTATTAAGATACCTACCCGAAAACCCACAATGATCCACATAAAGACATACGAGACTAATTCAATAAAAGGGTCTTCAATGGCAGAAATCCCTATCAATTATCCTAAGATATACTGGAAAGTGTAGGGAATTAGATGTTAGAAATCTTGCATTCAAGTCTCTGTTCTATCAGGTACTACTTGCATGACCCTGGGCAAGTTCCTTTACCCCTGAGTACCAGTTTCCGTATCTGTTAGATAAAGACAATAACTGCTGCCCCACCAATCTAATAGGCTTGTTTGAGGTAGCAAATAACATTTAAAAATGTAAAAGATCTTTGCAAACTATGAAGCCTTCCAGAAACATGACCATCATTTTATGTATCACTACTGCCTAGAACACAGGTAGCCTGACAAAGGTTTCTTACTAAAATTACAATTGTACAGGTAATAAATTAAATGTTTTCCTGGTAGTCTAAAAGAACTCCATTGTTCTCATATCAACACTTAGCTTAATGTTAACTGAGTTAGGCTCTGAGAACAAGTTGAATCACATTGTCTTCTGGAATTCAAGTGTTTCTAAAAAAACATATGTCCCACATAAGGAGGGCAGCCATCCTTCAGCCCCAGAAGATTGCTAGAGTGAGCAGCAGACTTCAAAAGAACTCTGAACCTCCATACACATTCTGGATCATACAACATCTTACCTCACTTTTCTGGGAAAGGATTTCTGGTTCCTCCAGTGCTTATCCAGTCCTCAAGGGCTCCTTTGCATTTTTCTTGGTGCCAGTTTATAAACCCTAGGTGCTAGGTGGTTTATATACGCATATAATATTATATAACTTACACTTTATTATATAATAACTATATTACATAAACTATATATATAATAATACATATTTATTTTTTTTAAAGATTGCTGTCATATAGAAAGGCAGGACACCAAGGTTTCAGATAGTCCTAGGGAAACCACAGGGTGTTTTTCATATGGAACTCTTTATTCACAACTATAAACCACCCAATTAAAAAAAATGTTTCTGTTATTGAACTTGCTGTTCACTCCCTCCCCCTCCCCACCAGGTATCTGTAGGACTTGCTCCCTACTTTGTTCCATCTCTGCTCAAATAATATCCTCCTCAGAGAGGCCTTCCTTGACATCCCTTGCTGAAAGAGCCATTCACATGGGTACTTCTGCCATTCTCTCCACACCCTTGTGTATTACGTGTTGTTCAGCTGGCTCTGACTCCTGACCCCCTATGAATGAGTGACATCCTCCGTGTCTGTTCTCAGCAGCCCTGCTCAGTTGCTTTAGACTCATGCCTGTGGTTTTTTTTGTGGAGTCAATCCATCTCATATTTGGTCTTCCCCCTTTCCTGCTGCCTTCTATTTTTCCCAGCATTATTAGTTTTTCCAAAGAACCCTGCCTTCTCATGATATGCCTGAAGTAGTATAGCTTCAATTTTGTTGCTTTTACCTCCTGCAATGTTTCAGGCTTAATTTTTTTCTAGGACCCACTTGTTTGTTTTTCTGGCAATTCAGGGTATCCATACAGCTATCTTCTAACACCATACTTTAAGTAAATCCATTTTTTTCCTATCAGCCTTCTTCACTGTGCAGCTTCTGCATTCATACATAGCAACTGTGAATATGAGGGTGTGGATCATCTCAACCTGGTCTCTAATGACACATCTTTACTCTTCATGGTATTTTCTAACTTTTCCATTGCTACCCTTCCAAATTTCAGCATTCTCTTCATTTCTTAGCCACATCTCCATTGGAACTGATCCTTACCCTGCTTTACTTTCCCCACAGTATTCATCACTACCTATTATGAGAAGCACTGGCATTAGATTTTTTATATCTATTTATTGTCTGTTTCCCTTAGTAGAGTGAAGGAGAAGTAGTGTATTCTATTCACAAATGTTCTCCCAAAGCCTAAAGTAGTACCTGACATGTAAGTATGAAACCAAACCCAGGTTCAGCTGTCTGCCACAACGAAAGCCAAACCGTGAGACAGGTGCTGGTGAAAAGGAAAGTGGTTGATTAGAGGGCTGGCACTACAAGAATATGGGACCTGTGCTCACTAAATATTTGTTGAATGAAAAGTTATCAGAGATTAATGATTGCCACATATAGGTGATGAAGTTGGAGATGTAAACGATAATATATTTGAAAACAGTCATACTGGAATGTTCTTCCATTTACATAAGATTAAACCTGTTCTCACATTTTAACAAGTTTATCAATTTTAGAACATTTATCAGTGCTCATTGATACATTTATCATTATAAATAAAGAATATTAATCAATGCCAATAAAAGGATACGAGAAGCGATCATTCCATGTTGCTCTTTCGACGTATTCCAACATGACAACAGCTTTGATTGTCGTTAAAAGTTTGTTCCATGTTTCATCAAAATCTACTACTCTTGGTTTCAAAGACATTGTGCAAGTTTAGTGTTGAAATCTGTTAATTATAAACAATAGCCACATTAGCATGAGTTCTACAAGATGAGTTATTTGATTTGAAAGCACTACATAATGAAAGAGACGAAAAGGGTGAGAGCAGAACCTGGCACAGAGTAAGAACACAATAAACACTGGCTATTATCTTTGTATGACTATCCATACAAGGAATTCCACAGAATATCTGCATTCTTTACATACTAGGAATTGGAAAGCTTTTAGTACAAATTATTTATAATCAGGAGTGTTATTCCAAACAATTAGCAGCCTCATTTAAAACATTAAGAAAAAGAAGCTGTGATCCAAATAGTCAAGTTATCTTCCATCATGGGAAATATGCAAGAAACACTCAATAAAATGGTTTTGGCCCCAAATCCTTATCTTGAAGAATGAGGTAGTATGCAGGGGAATATAAGAACACATAAGAAAATGGAAGAATTTATCTTCCTGGAACATCAGTTTAGGTAAAAAAAAATTAGGAAGGAAATGTATATTAAAACAAAAATGAATTGTAGAGTAGAATGCAAAATTCACATGAATCATTAAGTTAAAGTAAAAGATTTCAAAGAAATAGCAGGGCTGCTCTCTCTCACATTCTTAGGGTATCCAGCCCCACTACTCTAATGAAGAATACAACTAGCATGGAACCCTTGGCTCAGAACTTGACCAGCATGGTAGTGAGTGACAAGACTCCTTTTGCCCGGCAGACAAGCTGTACTCTAGGAGTCAGCTGATTTCTGCAACAAAAAGGTCCCAAGGCTACAGGAACTTGCTTCAAAGGCTACATTCAAATCCTTCTCAGTATCACACCAGAAGAAAAGAATTAAGACAAATTTAATTTGTTTTACAGTTAAATTTTAAAGTTATCATTTAAAGTTAAATTTAAGTGCACAAGGGAATACTTTTCTGACACATGTTTTAATATTCTCCCTCATTTTCCCCTATTACTAGGAGTATGAAACACCAAGCTAGTCTGTAGCCAGGCCAGAAAAGGAGGGTAAATGTGTTCTCCACTCTGTCACTGTGGGAAAAGGGGGAATAGGAAAATAATGGGGCAGGGAGGGAAGCATAAAGGAAGAAAAGGAGCTGTGATTGGTATGGCTTGGTATATGGAGCGCCGGCCTGCGAACCAAAGGGTCACCAGTGCGATTCCCAGTCAGGACACATGCCTGAGTTGCAGGCCAGGTCCCTATTAGGGGGTGCATGAGAGGCAACCACACACTGATGTTTCTCTCCCTATCTCCCTCCTTTCCCTCTGTCTAAAAAGAAATAAATAAAATCTTTAAAAAAAATAAAAGAAAAGGAAACAAGGCAAAGGAAACCAGTTGAACACTCCCAACCCACAACCTGAGGTGACCCTAGTCCTTTTCATGTTTCTGACCTATGGAGAAAAGAATTCAAGAGGAGTCCAAGGAATAGACTTAAAGGAAGAAAAAGAAAAGGAATCAAAGAGAAGCTAAGCAAAAATCCAGAAGAGGGAGTACCACAATTCATTAGTGGTTTCCTCAACATAACAGAGACCCCACCTCCAGCCTTAAATTGCCTGCACTAACAGGAATGGACCAGTCATAATTTAACGGTGTGTGCAGGTGGGGAGTAGGGGCAGGAACACTGGAGAGAAGAGAGAACCTAGAGCTCTACCTTTACACCAGGGAATTAACCTTAATTCCTTTTCATCCTTATTTACCATATCCTATCTGTGTTTCTGAGTATTTCTTAAATCCATCCCTTCCTCTGTAACCCTACATATGCTCTGAGACAGGCCCTTAGCAGCTCTAGTTTTTATTAATCTTTCATTCATAAAAGAAATAATAATAACTGTTAATATTTATATAGTGCTTAGTATCAGCCAAGCGATATTCTAAAAGTTTTATATAAACTCATTTAATCTGATTAGTTAGATCCCACTGTTCTCTACATTTTCTAGATAAGAAAGCTAAGTCAAAGGGTGATTAAGAAACTTGCTTAAGATCACAGAGCTACTTAATGGTGGCATCGGGATTCAGATCTGTATTTGAGCCCAAGTATTCAACTGCTATATGCAACTATACTACCTTACTAAGATTTTTAGTGAATATTTAAATATTTGCCAGGCATTATTCTAGGCTCTGAGGATAGAGCAGGCAACAAAGAAAATTACTGACCTTCAAAAAGATTAGAATATCACATCAGGCATTCAAGGACAAAAATAACCTATCTACACCAAAAAACTGAGCATGTCACTCTTTTGTTTTGATGCTTTCCACTATGCACACCATTTAGTTTAATGGCTACATGGTACACCAAGCTTCCATGATTAACCTTAGACTTAAGCACCTCTCCTGCTTCTTCTTAAGGAACTCTTTGACATCAGAATCTACTAACTTCTGCTTAGAGGTCAGTAAACTGATTCATACACCCTGCCTTTACCCTTGTTTTCTATACCTAAAATTCTTTTATTTCCTTACCTCTACCTTCCCACCCATTCAACTAACTCTTACCGATATTAAAGCCTTGGTCCAGTACATTTGCTTTTAAGAAACTTTCCCAAGGAATGTACTTTGAGAACTTCCAGTCAAATTGGAGGTGCAGGTAAATACATTTTGCCTCCTCACACAATTGCAGCAAAAATTACAACTAGACTACAAAACATATAATGCCCAGATTCACCAGAAAATCACATATATGGAAGTCCAACAACTGAGGATTTAAAGAAGCCACATTCATCCAGACGGGCAGGAGGGGCGGAGATGTATGGAGAGGCACAGAGAGGCGGCAGAACAGGCTGTTGTCCTACATTCACATGTGGTAGAAAAAAAATCGGGATACCACCTTGGGAGTGAGCAACCCCAACCCCAAACCAGACTACCCAGCCCAGGGTTCTAGCAGTAGGAAGCTAAGTCCCATAACTTCTGGCTATAAAAACCAGTGGGGGTGGGGACGGCAGAAGAAACTGCAGGATGCTCAGGAGACTCCTCTTAAGAGGCCCACAAAGGTCTCAGGACTTATACAGACCCACTCCCTCTGAGATTCAGCACCAGGACCACAGCAGGAAGGGCACAAGTGGCATATGGGGAGAAAGCGAAGTGATGGCAACAGGGTGAATGTCAGGAGACAGTTTCCTCCTGGGCAAATCTCTAGAGGCTGGGCAGCGGCACTGTCCCCTGTGAGCCCTCCCACCACATAGAGCCACAAAGCAATGACACAGGTTGCCCTGTCCTGGCAATTATCTAAGGCTCTACCCCACACAATTTACAGGTGCTTTTTCTACAATAGGCCATGCTACTAAGACAGGGAGTCAAAGCAGTTCTATCAAATACACAGAAACAAACACAGGGAAACTGCCAAAATGAGAAGACAAAGAAATATGGCCCAAATGAAAGAACAAAACAAAACTCTAGGAAAAGAACTAAATAAAATGGAGATAAACAACCTATCAGGATGCACAGTTCAAAACAATGGTTATCAGGATGCTCAAAGAACTCTTTGAATACTGCAACAGTATAAAAAAGAGTCAGGCAAAAATAAAGGTTGCATTAAATGAAATGAAGAAAAAAATCTACAGGGAACTAAGAGTGGAGGAGTTGAGGCTGAAAATCAAATCAATGACTTGGAACATAAGGAAGAAAAAAGCATTCAATCAGAAAAACAAGAAGAAAAAAGAATTAAAAAACACGAGGATGGAATAGGAGCCCCTGGGACATCTCCAAACATACCAACATCCAAATCATAGGGAAGCCAAAAGAGGAAGAAGAGGGAGAAACTGAAAACTTATTTGAAAAAATAATGAAAGAAAACTTCTCTAAATTGGTGAAGGAAATAAAGATGTAAGTCTAGGAAGGACAGAGAATCCTAAACAAGTTGGACCCAAAGATGTCCACACCAAGACACATCATATGTAAAATGCCAAAGGTAAAAGATAGAGAGAATCTTAAAAGCAGCTAGAGAAAAGCAGATAGTTACCTGCAAAGGAATTCCCATAAGACTGTCAGCTGATTTCTCAAAAGAAACTTTGCAGGCAAGAGACTGGCCAGAAGTATTCAAAGTAATAAAAAGCAAGGACCTACAATCTATATTACTCTGTCCAGCAAAGCTACCACTTACAATCAAAGGGCAGATAAAGTTCTTCCCAGACAAGGTAAAAGCTAAAGGAATCCATCACTACCAAGCCATTATCACATGAAATGTTAAAGGAAACTATATAAGCACTAAGAAGTTTAAACATTAAAATGGCAACGAATTCACAACTATCAACAACTGAATCTACAAATCTAAGCAAACAAGCACAACAGGTACATCATCATAGATAGACATGCAGATCAACTGGAGGGTTATCAGTGGGGAGGGGGAGAAAGCAGCGAAAGGTGTAGGGATTAAGAAGTACAAATTGCCAGGTACAAATTACAGAGGGGAACATTAAGAACAGTATAGGAAACAGAAAAGCCAAAGACCTTACATGTATGACCCATGGACATGAACTAAGCAAGGGGATTGCTGGAGGGAATGGGGTTATTGGGTGGAGGGCAGTAAAGGAGGGAAAACTGGGACTATAATAGCATAATCATAAAATATTTTTTTAAAGAAACTTTACTGAGCCCACTTAAGCTAGGTCAGGTAACCTGTCTCACATATTACATGAGAACTCTGTGCTTACCTCTACTGTAATTATCTGAGCTTTTCTTGAGGATATGGACTACTGTATAACAGTATAACAAAATGTTGGCAATATACCCCTTTACATTACTTTTCTCTCCTTGTAAAAATGGGATATTATACACACTAGTTAAAATTATTTTAATAGCTGCAGAGGTTAATCACCGTTACTGACTTCTCTGCTGACACCAACAGATTTATGGTAGAATGGGTAGGTACATGTGTAGCGATTATTCCATGAAAAATGGAAGACAAAGTGAGAGAAGCACAAGCTCAGAGAAACACACTAAAATCTAACAAACCAACAGCAGAAAGTATACTGAAATCATCTATTAAATTCTCTGCTTGCCCAATAAGCACATATAACTA